TCCAACCCCAATAAATAAATCCTTTCACAGAGGGGATCAATGTACACAAAATGTCCACAGCTTCAGAACCCACTCAGCAAAAACATATCCCACACTGGCCAAATGTAGACAAACGACACACCTAGCTCAGTTGCTGCCCACACAACACACTTCAGATTCTACAAGAGTAGGGTCGCTTTGACCCTTTGGGGGTACATCTTTGAAGAACAAGATTACTTTTATTTTTATCCACCTCTTATACCCTTTTGGGTGTCGCGGGAAGAAAGAGAGCTCTGTTGCCTGCCGGAGAGCTTGGGTCAGGGGGATGCCGTGGGTGGTTAATGTTTCCCTGACTCCATCTATCCAGGTCTTTCTCGGTCGCCCTCTAGCCTTGTTGCCATTGAAGAACAAGCAGATACTATATTACAAAGTAGAATATTCTCTGGAAGAGAACCAAACTTGCTGTATCGTGTCATGCACGGTGCAGAGCGTGTGTGTCACGACAGCAAAATTGTCAATTTTTGGACATACATGTGGAGTTTTAGCTATCCTTTTAAAGCTTATTCACTGACCTTGCTTTTAATTTAAAAAATACCTATCCATCTTGAATAGAAGTCGAGAAATTTGCGATTGAAGGAGATAGAAGGGGGTGGGGTCATCTGGTTTCAATGGAAAAATTAGCGAGAAAATGGCCACCAAAGTTTGGAAACTTCAATAGCTTGAGAGTTCTGAAAACTGACAAATTACAAAGTTTGTACCTTTAATAAACGTTTTTCAGTAAAATTTACAAGGGAATGCCTTTTCTTATGGACATAAAGAAGTGTTGAGCCAAAAAGAACAAAATTCCCCCAAAAATTGCCTGACTGGAAGAAAAACTGCCTGTATCTTTGATCTAATCATTTTAACGAGCGCCTGATTTCACCACGACGCCTCACACATTATTATAAAGTGTAATATTCTCCGGAAGAAATAGAAACCTATGTATCTCGCTACGCACGCTGCAGAGTCTATAGACTACACCACCGACCGACCTAGAACCATCTAGAAATTCTGCAAGTAGATATGCGGGGGGGGGGGGGGGGGAATTCATAGTGGGGAACCTGTGAGGATTTAGCCCTTTTGTCTTATTATTATTATTATTATCATCATTATTATTATTATTCTCATTACAGGCACACATGTCGGTTCCCGGTCTACCCTAGCACTCCACCTGTGATTGTCACCGACGTGAATAGACTGCCAGATGTCACTGGCATGAATAGACTGCCAGTTGTCACTCCGTCTAGACACCAGCTGTACTACCCCCTGCTGACAATGACCAAGGTACAGACATGAACGTACTACCTCCTTACAGGAATACACCATCATGACAACCTCTCTCTCTCCCTCTCTCTCACACACACAAACACACACACCCACACACACTCACACCCACACACACAAACACACACACCCACACAGCTAGGGCTACTGGAATAGGCTCCATCAGGAGGGATGATTTTGCAACTCCACGACACACACACACACACACACACAGACTGAACAGAACTGGATGCTCAGATAATTACCAAAGCTGCGTTCTCCCTACATAATGTTCCCATCTTTGCCTCTAGACGTTTTGTTTTCCGTATACCTCATCGGAGTAGCTCATCAGAAATCAATCAATCTTAATCACACAAAAATATTCCCGCCCCCCCCC